GACATAGGTGCAGGCATAGACTGTAGGAACAAAACCCCAATCTCACAGGGAATACCACATAATCAACTAGGATCTCATTTTTAAAAAAAGCTTTTGCATAGCAAAATAAGTCATCAAGAGGGTGAAGAGATAATTCATAGATGGGAAAAAATTATTGTCACCTGCTCCTCAGACAAAGTGCTAACATGGGCACGTATAAAGAACTAAAAAAAAAAAAAAAACATACTCCAAAATGTAAAGACTCAATCCAAAAATGGCCATCTGAAATGAGTACACATTTCCCAAATAAAGAAGTAGAAATGCAAATAAATATATGAAAAATTGTTCAACATCACTGGTCATTCAAGAGATGCAAATTAAAACAATGCTGACTCGGGGGCTGGGGATTTAGCTCAGCGGCAAAAGCGCCTGCCTGGCAAGTGCAAGGTCGTGAGTTCGGTTTCCGGTACCGGAGAAAAACCAAAAACAAAAAACAAAAAACAAAAAAAACCAAAAAACAAAAACAAAAACAATGCTGACAGTGTATCTCACTCAAGAAAGAATTATTATTATCAAGAAATCAACCAATAACAAATGCTGGTGGGGCTGTGTGGACAAAGAACCCTTCTTCATTGTTATTGGGAGTGTAGAGCTGTGCAACCATTGTGGAAATCAGTGTGGAGATTCATCAAAAAACTAAAATATAGAAGTTTCCTTGTACTTATGTACTTCTTTTCTATTAAAAGCATCACACCACAGTGATATATGCACATCCATGTTTATGTAATAGGTAAGTCTTGGGAACAGCCCAAATGCCCATTAACCCATGAATGGATAAAGACGATGTGTTTTTTTTATACAGTGGAGTACTACTCAACCATAAGAGACATTGTAGAAATCTGGGAAAAATTAAGGGTTGGTTTTAAGAAAGATGTTAACTCTTTCTTTTTGTGATACTTTGATGTTGATATTGGAATTGTAAGAAATAATAGAGATGTTATATCCCTTTCATTCAGTTTCCTTTAATGGTAATGTAGGAATGGTGGTTTTAAGTCCATTTATAAGGCAGATACAGCTTTTTTTCTGTCTGATTGTACTATTGCAATCTAAAATCTTCATAGTAACTTCATATTTTCAGAAAAAAGTATATTCAACTTGACCTTTTGATGTGGGGATTTTTTTCTTAAAGGAAAGGGAAACTTGGTCTTTGATAGGGACCTAGGCTGATTTTATATCTTGGCTGTTGTGTGGGTTCTGGCTGCCATTCATTTTCTTTTCTTTTCTTTTCTTTTCTTTTCTTTTCTTTTCTTTTCTTTTCTTTTCTTTTCTTTTCTTTTCTTTCTTTTCTTTTCTTTTCTTCTTTTCTTTTCTTTTCTTTTTGTCTTTTTGAGACAGGGTCTCAATATGCAGTTCAGGCTGGCCTTGAGCTCATGTTGTAGCCCAGGCTGGTCTTGAACTCACAGCATTCCTCCTGCCTCAGGCTCCTGAGTGCTGGGAATACAGGAATATGCCTACATTTGGCTTCTGTAATTCTTTTTTCATGTTTTCAGTGCTGGGGGCCCAGCACACTCACTTGGTCATCAGCCCCTGTTGTCTTTGTCCACACCACAAAGTTGCTCCTCCTCTCCAGTCATGGCTCACCAGTGTCCATGGCCACTCACGTGGATAATCTAATCATCTAGTGCACAGGTCCCTGCTCCATTTTATGCCCCACATCTGGCCTCGCTGCTCTCCACAGAGCAGCCCATGAGATCAGTAAAAGCACAAATGCAATAATATTTCTCCCCTACTGAAAACTCTTCAATTGTTTCTTGATAAAAATGCATTCAAAGGAGAATTCCAGAATTCCCATTGTCAACAGTCCTCCCTCTCCACCATCACCATGGTCTTTCCCTCTCTCCCAGCCTATCTCTGAGCCACAGTGTCTTTCCCTAGTCCTTCATGGACATCAAACTTCTCCTACCTCGGGCTCTTTGCACATGCTCTCTGACCACCACCTTGGATCTGAGAACAATTCCCTCTAATCTTTCATGTTTCAGCTTAAGCACTGCCTTCTTGGAGAAGACTTGCCTGTGTTCTGTGTAGGATGTAAGTCCTTGCCCTCTGCACCAAGAAATTATCTACTATCACTGATTTCTGATCATGGTCTTTATGACACTGGATACATTTTTTTTTCCTGGTACCGGGAATCAAACTCACAACCTTGCACTTGCCAGGCAAGTGCTGTGCCGCTGAGCTAAAGCCCAAGTCCCAACACTTGATACATTATCAGGACCCCACCAAAAGACCAGAAAGTAGTAAATTGTTCTGGGCAGGGTCCTGGGGAGAGGAAGTTTTTTTTCAATTTTTGGATTATTAAATGGATCTGATTCCCCTTATATTGCACTGGGGTGGGGCAAGGAGAAATTTAGTCCTAGGGAGTGGCACCAGCTTCTTGGTTGCCTTGGCCTTGACCTAAATAGCAAGTTCTTGTTCCTGTCTTTCAGCCTTTGAATTCTGTTTTCACAACCATTTCTGACACTCACAGTGGGTCCTTTGTTTCTGATGAGATATTTGGGCTTTCAACCTGGGGCCACGGTCACATTACGGTCCATGAACTGCTTGAAATCATATGCACAGATTTATGTTTACACACGGGGGAGAATCTATAATAGCCTTCATTGGATTTTCAAAGGCATCCATAACCTTAAAAAGGTTATTTCCACCCTAGATAACTCCCAATACACTCTGATTTCAAGTACCCCCATAACTGTATAATTATGTACTTTGACAAAAATCTCTAAAGATTCTTGGCGTTTGTTACGATGTGTTATCACACGGCAGGGCTAAAACATTTCACTACCATAATAAAACTCAAGTAGGCAATTCTTAAGAGTTGATCAGGGGCTGGGAGTATACTTCAGTGATATAGTACATGAAACCTTGGGCTCAATTCCCTCCACATCAAAAATAACCCAAAACCCCCTTCAATATAAGTGAGAATGATAATGTCTTATGCTAAAGTTCTTGTGTAAGATGTGTCAGTAAAAGTGATAATTTCTCACACTAAAGTTGATGTGTTCATGCTAAAGACCTTTTATTTACTTGAAAAGTAATTAGCATTTCCTATTTTCATCTAACAGTAGAGAATCAGGTTCTGAGGGGCAGAGCAGATACAAAGGCGAAGAAGACAGAGGTCCTTCTCCAAAGAGCTGACAGTGTATATGGAGATACAGTAAAGAACAGAATACATGAGATCTAAATATATCTTAGAGGTATGAAGTGAATGCTATTAAAGCAAGATAAAAGAAATAAGAATTCTGCCTGGATCACTGAGTTTCTACATTTGATCTGAAGGACAAAGGATGCAGAGAACACAGACAGACTTGTCTGATGCAGGTGGAAGACACTGGGGGGGTCAAACTGAGCTCAGGATAGAGAATTAGGTGAGGGCCAGACTTTGCAGGCCCCGAATGGATGCTGTGCTTATTGATTTCCTATATCATGGGGTCTCTGGAGTCGTTTTGAAGAGCAGTATGGACATGATTTGATCAGAAGGTGACTGGCCATCGTGGGGGTGATAATGGATATCTTATGAGAGACCCCTGTAAAGTGTAGAGGAGAAACGATCAGGATCCAAACTTGGGTCATGGCAGGGAGAAGAGGCAGAGAAGAGAATGTGCCAAGGTGAACGCTTCCCTGGGAAGGAGGAGCAGAGGAGAGGGACAGCAGGGGGAGAGGCTGCTGGGTCTGATTCAAACAGAGTAAAACGGCAGGGAAAATCAGTGTTAATGATGGGGTGTGCAGGAGAAAGAACAGTGAAAGAGCAAGCTGGAGGGGTTGGCAAGGACCTGACGGTTGAAAGGGAAGTAGGTGTTACAGGGACCCGCCCAATCTGCAAGTCCGTCAGATGGGAAAGGAAGAGGCCGAGGCCATCACAGACAGGCTTCTCACTTGCCTGCCTACTGCTTTCTACACATCCTCATTTAAGCATCTCAAAAAAGCCCACACTGGGATCCATATCAGTAGTGAGGAGACGAAGGCAGAGATGAATAACACGATTGCATCAGTGACCCTGGGCTTGGAGTAAAGCTCCAGCTCCACGAGGGATACCCTTAACCCCCAAGCATCCACAGGGTGTACAGTAAAGGACAGAGGTGTTCGAACTTCTTTGTCAAAATGCAAGATGGAAGTTTGGGGATACTCCTCTTTTTATCATTTTAGGTTGCAAATTATGTAAATGCGAGTTTCAAGAATTACTCTAGTGGACACTAGGAGTTAAGTAGCTAGAACACACATGATACAGCAGTACCTCGGTTCACAAACTCAGTTCTTGGCGTGATTCTAGTCACAAACTGAACTGGATGAGAACCGAATCAAATTTCCCCATGAAGTCAACATCTAACGTAACCACTGAATTTGACTCAGTTCTCATCCAACTTAGTTTGCCACCGGAATTGTGGAAAGAATCAAGCTTGTGAACTGAGGTACCACTGCACTTTGTATTTGGTTTTTAGTTTGAGTGTGGTACCTATGTCTTTGGCTTACCATTCAACAATTGTATTTCAAAATTAAAACAATTCTATAGTGCTTTACATAATTTTTATTTATTTATTGTGGTACTAGAGATGAAACACAGGGCTTTGCACTGATGTACATTCTCAGTTCCTTTTAAAAATTTTTCACTGTGAGACAGAATCTTACTAGGTTCCAAAGTTGCCCAGCCTGGGCTCAAAACATGTGATCCTCCTGCCTCAGCTTCTCTGAGTGCTGGGATTATAGGACACTGCCACCATAAGTAATTTTTAAAATTTAAACTATGTTGTTCCCTCTCCTCAAAATCAATGGATTAATATCACAAAAGTAATATATAACTCAACAATATAACTATATCTGTGCCATTTCCCTGGACTTTTCATTTTGAAGATTTAAGTTAGATTTAAATGCACTAATAAATTGCCTCCTAAACCTCCGTTCTCTCTCCACAGAGGTATTTTACCACCTGCCGTGATGGAGTCCCAGGGGTGAGAGATGAGCCCTACCTGAGTGCGTGGTTTCTCGCCAAGCTTGGCTGACGCTCTTGCAACATTTCAAAAATGTTTGGCTGGCGAAGAAATGCCACAATCTTGTCATTATATGCTGAAATAGACAAAAGCGCAGAGTTGTGGTTCAATCTGTAGCCCAGAGATAATTTCTCTGATGTCTGGAAACTGCCTGCTTGACACCAGAATTAATGTAGGATTCTGAAGGTCTCATAAAGAATGTAACCTCCTGCATTTTTCAAATGTGACATAATAGCATTATCATTTCAGAAAGATCAAACTAAAGGCGAGTGAGTTCTAAGTAATCATCCACAATATGTCCAGTACTTTGCTAGGTGTTATCTAATCTCTGCATAAATAGGTAAAGGAGAATGAAATGGCTCTTCCACGAGAGGGGTTCTCCTCACTTCTAATTTCTCGTGGTTCTCTTGTCACAGTTTTTTTGGCAGAAAATTCTTCAGGAGCTTGAAGAAATCTTTCCTGAGCACTTGACACAACCCGTGTCTGAGTGTCGGTTTCCCTGTTGTGATGATGGGAATACCCATGACTCACTCTTTTGCCTCATTTCCCTTGAGACAGTGGCCTGTGTTCTGGAAACAGATAGCTGAGATTAGGAATAAACACTGTGCAAGCTCTCCCCGTGCATACATGGAAAGAGAGGTGTGAACTACAAATTGCATCTAGCAACAGTGAAGTCCACTGCCTCACTTAAGCTGTGCTCTTCTGGATGGAGCTGGCAAACCATAGAATGGGATAAAGAAGAAGACCTGGGAAGGTCTGGGAAGAGTAGAGAAACGGGAGGGGAAGGGAAGAGGAAAAGGACATAAGGGAATGGGAGTGAAAGGTTCGGGAGGAAGTGTCAGAACAGAGGAGAGAGAAAACACAGACTGTTGAATATTAAGCAATTCATGATAAGAAAACAAGGTGAAATATTGCATGGCCTGAGGTTCAAACAGATACGAATACATACCCAGAGGCAATGACTCATGCTGATGCTGGCTTCGAATTGCAGCTACCAGGCTGTGTCCTGGCCTGGCCAGTAAAGAGGCTCCTCTGTTTCTAGAAACTTCTGAGGCCTGATTTCAAAATAAAAGTGTAAGATTGAAAATCTGTCATCAATTTCAGCTGATCTTTTTGTAATAATTTTTCAAGGTGAGTGGTAAACTGCTGACATCATCTAAGTTTTTTTTTAAAAAGTAATAAAAATTACAGTCATCCAAGTAATGAAAAAATAGACAAGTTTCTTAAAAAAATGACTGGTTGATGTGTTATATTATGATTAAGCAAGTGATTGTGCCACATGTCATTAAGTTAATGCACTGACTAGACTAAGAAACAGCTCTCATCAGAACTATGAGAGCAGTAAGTTCCATATAAATAGTATCCTTTCCAAGAGGTAGCACTGAACTTCAACACTGAACATGGTATAGATTTGCTCTTATGAAAAGTGCTGGTAACTCTCAAAGGGAATTCTCTGTTGAGTGCCTATGGTATCACGATAGAAAACTTGCTCTCCTGATTTAGAACTTGGTGGATATATTAAATTTTAAAATTGACATACTGAGTATCTCATATCCTCACAAATTTTGCAAGAGAAGCATGATGAAACTGAATTTACAGATAGAGAATCTGAGGTTCCAAGAAAAGAAAGTTTTCCCAAATTTAAAACCCTAAGAGCGAGAACCAGGATTCTAATTAATCTACAGCTGTAAAGCATTTCTTTATACCAATGGTGCTACCAGCCTTCATTCAGTATTTTGGTTTTGGTTGCTCATTTGTGACAAAATGTCATGGGATAAATAACTTGCTTAGTCTAAAATTGGTATTTGTGATGAGAAAGCTAAATTGGCTCAATGTTAAAATTTAATAAATCCTCTAAATTCTACAACATGATAACAAACTTTCTACCACAATTTCATATATATTTTGTTCTGTAAAGCTCTTACAGAATAAGACATTAAAACTGGGGCACTACAGATTTTCCACATTGGATTACATTTACCAGATCAATAGGATTTAGTGTACATTATGATTCAGTCTATGTGGTGTTGGACAAAGTACAGAAAAATAGGCATTAGAATATTTAACAATTTTGAAGGTAACATTGTAAGACATTTATAAAAAATTCAAATATACAGATAAAACAGTAAAGAAAATTCTCTGAGACCAGTATAAAATTCACTCATAGAATTCAGGACAGCTGATGAGAACTTGCGCCACAAAATCTAGAAAGGGCAAGTCATCTTCAGAATGGTCAGTTAAGACTGGACCATCTATGATCATGCAAGTGATTCCTTTTTTTTAAAAAGAGCATAATAAATTTACTGAGGAAAAGAAAACTGTCTGAGAGAGGGACGGAAGGAACTTAGCCATTTCTAATTAAAAATATGGTAACTGGTGGTATACCTTCAGGTCTTGTTTTTATGCTTCACACCAAGAGTAGCATCCTTACAAACACAGATGTGCTACCATTTCAGTATCTATAGATGGCAGCCTCTGCTGCTCTTCTGGACGTTTGAGGGATGCACCTCCTTCTTTTTTCTCTTCAATCTGGCCACGGTTCACTTGATGGACACAGAAATAGCCCATGTGCCAATTTGGTACTGGGAATTGAACTCAGAATCTTGTGCTTGCCAGGTAGGTGCTGTGCCACTAAGCTATATATCCGGCCCATGTACCAATTTGGGAAATTTTTCACTTTGCTGTCGATAGCATTCAGCTCTGCCCAGTCAGACACCAAAATGTTTTTGTTATTTTATTTTTTGAGACAGGGTCTCACTGTGTAGTTCAGGCTTCCCTTGAACTCCCTATGTAGCCCAGGCTGGTCTCAAACTTGAGGTGATTTTCCTGCCTTAGCCTCTGGAATGTTGGGATTACAGATATGTGCCACTATGCCTCGTTTGTAAGCTGCTATTTCTGCAGCAGCACTTCCCAGTCTCCGTTAGAGGGTTACAGTGCAAAGAGGTGAAAGAGGTTTACTGATCATTGAACTATACAGTATGGAGTCCTCACACTTCCCTTTTTCCTCCATAAATTAATTAATGTGTAAAATTTCTCTGGGACTAAAACAATATGGCTCTTTTCCTGAAAGGGAACTGTAAGGTCCACTTTAATGTGTGCTTGACGATATGTCTGATGATGAAAGGACAGAATTCTCAAAGACCACTCAGTGGAACATCATTTAAATGATCAATTATAGCGAGAAATGGGAAAAGTGGATAACCTGGAATCTGAGTTGAGGAGGCTTGGTGCACTGAACTCAAGCGACCCCTGCTGTCTCACCTCAAGTGAAAGTGTAGTGGGTCACCCCAAAATGAATAGGGTTTTGAAACAGGAAGCGCTCTCTTTTCATACCAGTTCTCAAAGACTTTCCTGTGTTGTTCATAAGCTTAGGGCAAAATATCAACTACTTCCGAGATCACCTGCTCGTTGTAAAGCTAAGCTGGAGGGAAATTCAGAATCCAGATCAAGTCCAGCAATCCCAGAAACAGATTGACAGATCTGCTTCAGATCAACTCTGAGGGAGCTGGAGGAAACAACACGCGGGACAGATAGGCTTGCAGTTTCCTGAGCCACAGAAACATCTGCCAAGGGCTGGTCTTGGATAACCCAGAGCCCAGAGCCCAGCACCGTGAGACAGAAAGAGCCTTTTGCAATTAGGGGCCCAGGAATCCACAGACAGGAAGTCAGTTTCAGTGAAACCTTTGGGAAATTCTGGGGATTCTAAAAATGAGCTAGAATTTAGAATGCACTAGAGCCCTCTAACCCTGCTACAGTTTAAACAATCCATCCCAAGGAACTGATTTGGGTTTCCTCCCAAACATAACGCCAGCATTGCTTTTTCAACTACTGCAGGTGACTAGAAACCTGGGTTTTTCTTTTAACACCAACAGTGTGTGATTCAAATTTCCTGGTGTTTGGGCCTTTTGGTCTGAGTTTCTCAGGGTGTGTGTGTGTGTGTGTGTGTGTGTGAGAGAGAGAGAGAGAGAGAGAGAGAGAGAAACAGAGAGAGACAGAGACAGAGACAGAGACAGAGAGACAGAGAGATAGAGACAGAGAGACAAAAACAGAGAGAGAGACAGAGACAGAATGTTCCCCAGTGGCCTACCTTTCCCTAGACATGCTATGATTATTGTATGACTGGGTAAGTTAAGGCTACTTTTAGGATTGTTTTTTAATTTTTATATGTTGATTGCTTTCATCATAATTGTAAATGTGAAAACTTCAAAAGTTTAGGTCTCCAGACAAAACAAAGTTGATTCCCTCAGAAAATAGTTTCCAGTGAGTGGTATACAAGCTTCTCTTCAGTGCTGCAATGTAGGCATATACACTGGTATGCTTTTAAAAGGCTGTGATTGAAAACGCAGGACTTAGCATTTGGCTAATGATCAGTTAATCCTCTTTCTGAAGACTGAAGGAACAGAATCAGAGGAAAGGCTCAGTTGATGAATTTACATAATCTTTAGATACTTCTTGTGCTTTTTTTTTGTTTGTTTGTTTGTTTTTCTGGTACTGGGAATTGAACTCATTACCTCACTCTTGCCAGGCAGGCGTTGTGCCACTGAGCTAAATCCCTAGCCCCTCTTGTGCTTTAAAAATGGACCATTAATGAAGTTTTCAGCTGGAGATGGTGGTTCTTGCCAGTAGACCCAGCACTCTGGGAAGCTGAGACAGGAGGATGCCAAGTTTGAGCCCACTTTGGGCAACTTAGCAACTTAACAAGACCCTGTCTCTAAAGAAATTAAATAAATGGATAAATTATTGAATGAATGAGTGAATAAATGAATGAGTGAATGAATAAACAGGTCAGAGGACATAGCTCAGGGCTAGTTTCTTCCCTAGCATTGTCAAACGAAACCAAAACCACAAAATCTTTAGAATTATCTTATGGAAACAAAGCAGATCTAGATATGGATTGTTGGATATACTGGATTTTGGACATACTTGCTTCATGGAGCAGTGAAACGTGGGCAAGAAATGCAATGTACGTAGGAATCCTTGAATTAAGTGATGATAGGTCCATATGATGAAATACTACCCAAGATATCTGAGGCCTGGAAATTGCCTCCAAAGCATTGTAATGTTAAAGCAGAACCACAGACTCCAGGATCCAGTCTCTCAGTTCTAAATGCGCTGAGGAGTGACCCCAGATGGAGGTCATGCCTACCTCTTAAGTTCTTTCTCTTCTGTCTGTGTTTTCTACCCTCGTCACATATTGTTTATAATTAATTTTCAAAGGTGTCTGAATTTTACAAACTTCCCACAAAACATATCATGAAGTGTAGGTCATATAGAATTCAGAAGACATTTATCTACTGTAAGAAGAATGTAGAAATTACTTTTTCCCCAAAAGTGAGCTTTCTGGGTGAAAACTCCTCCGTGTCTACAGAGCCAATAAAATGACCTTGCTGCAAAGGCAGCTCACTGTTCTCGGTCATGGCCGTGACTTCTACTTTAAAGTCTGAAGTTTCTCTTCCTGCCATCCCCTTGCGAGTTCTCCGGAACAGTCACTGTTAAGCTGTTTTGTGTCTGTCTCCAAAAATTTTCTATGACTAGTGATTTTCCTAACCTGAAGAAGATAAGGTGACAAAGATGATGCGTTCTGATATTTTTCTTATAACTATTAATTGATACTGTTAATGGCAGTGAAAACATAACACAGTTATTGACCTCCAGTGATTTCCTTACTGACAGGGAAATGTGTCTGAGGGTTACAACCCTATATCCCCTTTGAATTCCATTTGCACATTATGAGCAGAGATAAAGCCTGCTTTGTTGATTCTTAAATATATTGCAGATAAAGTGTGACTGTGCTCAAATGCAAGTGAAAGTGTCAATAACCTTTTTATTCATAAATCCTGTATTCCTGATAACTGTATTCATGAATCTGCTTGCAAAATTTCTGGGAGAAAAGGAGAATAGTCTAAAAAATGGTTAGCAGTGTTTCCATCAGTAACTTTTAGGATCTAGGTTAAAATTTTTATCATTTAGGTAAAAATTCGGATCCTTAACATTGAAACTGATTTTGATTACATTCTGAAGTAAAACAGTTTTAAAATACTAGCTGCTAAGCCAC